GGAACCGAAGGGCGGACACGGAACAAGGAGCCAGCCGTGAGATCCCAAGGGGCATTCACAAAAAACTAAAAAGCAATGGTTGAATTCAAGGAGCCACCATGGGAAAAAGAAATCTTGGAATTCCAAAGGCCGGTTTGGAATTCCAAGAGACAAACATTAAACAAACATAAAAAGCATAAAACTATATTAATTAAAAGATAATAAATGAACTAAAATGTTAGCTCATAATGAGCTAACCCTTAGTTCAATAAATGAACTAAAGTTCAGCTCATAAATGAACTAAAAGTTTAGCTCAAATATGAAAAACTACTAGACTCAAGGGAAGCCAAAATATGATTTATTTTGGACTAGGGTTGACCCCCCCCCCCCCCTTGTCTACATCAGCAACCCTTTTCCTCACCTGAAAAGGTGAATTAGCATCTCCGTCAGGCAACACGTAATTTGATATGATAAGAGTTATCAAAGAATTATATTACAGAGCTTTTCTCTGTGCAAGTGGCAGTCCCAAAATATGTTTATAAATACCCTATATTTTATGAAGAATTTTATGAATAGGAAACTATTCATGAATTCCTACTACCCAGAGGGCCTCCCCCTTTGAAGGATTCAAATTGAAGAAGCTACGACATGAGACAACGTCAAATTTGATGTATATTTCATATTTGGGTATTTAAGCAAAAGCATAGTTGTGCAAGCCAAAAGGGGAAATAGAAAGTTCTGTTTCTCCAAAATGTCAATTATGTTCAATGTTGCTTATCAAATTCAACCTCATAAATCTTACCTACATAAGTATATCAACCATCGAGCTTTCCATTGCAAAAACCACCACGAACATATGTTAATAAAAGTTACCCAACTATTTGCAGTCGACTGTGAATCCTAACTTTCCATTTGTTTGAACTGAATGATGCCTATTATGTTAACTATATCGTTCAGAAATCATTTTTAACAACTTTTATCCGATAGTTGCATTTCCCGCCCGTTAACAAGATTTATCTAACTTCTTCCAACAAACGATCACCAACAAATGTCCGTCCAAAACCAAGAGCCTTAATATGACAGGATAGAACGTCACATAGCTTCTCCTCCAACTAATACTCAATATAACAAGCCTATTCCTGAATAAAGGAAGAATTTCAAAATGTTTACAACCTGCTCAATGCACTGTACACGGCATTTAACCAAAATTTATCACTCAATAATTTTTATTTTTATTTTAATTAGATCTTCGTGGTCTTCAAAACCAGGAACTAGCCGCAAATGACTGTTCACATAATAATCACACCGAGGAAGCACGATAAGATAAAAAATAGCACCAACCTCGAATCCGGACAGGGAACCGGCAATCCACCGGACCACACGCCCGGATCACCCTCTCGGCCAAAATCATTGCCGGAAATACCCGTCACGGCCATCCCCTGGAAGAAGCCCTCCGCGGGCTTCCATTGATCCATTCACCTCAGGGTATCAACTGAAAACACACCGCCGCCACCGACGAAGAGGTCAATCGACTTTCTGACTCACTCCAGCCAGTGAAACGCAACTTGCCTGGCCGATATCAAATACTCAGGTAAGAGGGGAAAGGACGGCCGTAGAAAACGCAGACGCAAGCCTAGGGTTTCAAAGGGGTAAAGAAGATCTTCTGCTTGTTCAAGTGAGGAGAAGATAGAGCCAATCGACCACCGGCATCCGGTCTCAATTTCCCGGTAAAAAGTAATCCCACCGCCTGCTACCACATCTATTGCCATTCCACGTGGTGGAATCCTATTGGATTCTGTGTACAGCGATCTGTTAAAACTGCCACGTGGTTTGAAAACTAGAACGGGTTGGGCAGCAACAAATTTAAAATTTGCCCTTCCGGCAATAATTATATTTGGCAATAATTCTTGTTTAAATTCTGATCATTTTACTCGGTTCTATTCATGTGGGGGCTTTTGAATTTGGAGAGTATATTTATCTTGATAATGATGATGATAAAAATTAAAATAATAAAATTTTACTTTATTTATCAAGTAAAATTGATAAACTTAAATTAAGCTCTACAATTTATTAATGTAATACACATATCTTAGAATCATTTATGACTTGTTTCCTTGTATTATGCCTTACTCATACTTGTGGCACAAGTTGTCAAAACTAACAAGTTCAATTTAGACGACAATCTCATATATTGAACTAATCGACGGATCTTCATAGGTAACATACCTAATCAGACCACTCTTTTCAAGAATTCTAAACTGCTCGCCCACCAAATATAATAATTTCTATATCAAATTAGTAAAGGGTACTTTCCCTTTCTTAGAACTCACTCATTGGTCTCATCTAGTGCACAGCTATAAACCTAGCTTATTTACTATAAAAACAAAAACAACAACATTAAGTCTTTATCCCACTATATGGGGTTGGCTACATAAATTTTTTTCTCTATTGTGCCTTATTAAGAGTCAAATTATCATTTAAATCTAACAAATAAAAGTCATTTCTGATATTTTATAACCAAGACTTTTTAGGTTAACCCCTATACCTTTATTAATATAGGCCAAATTTAAAATATCTACTCTCCTAATCAATGTCATGCCCCTCGATCTAATTTAGAAGAATTATTTATTTACTTATTAATTAAACTACCCGAGCAACAAATCTCTTTTAAAGAATAAAATCATCAGCAGAAGAAACTATAAATCATATTCATCAAAATACATGATTAAATTTATTTCTCAAAATTTATATATAATTGTTTGGAGGTCAATCAATACATCAGTCTGTCATTCTAAACTCATGACTACAAAAGAAAAAACCAAAATGCAAAATAAATGAAAACATGGGACTGCTTGATCTCTCTCACTCTATTAGATTCTATCCACTTCCTGAAAACATGCAAAAATCATAGAGTGAGCTAACAACTCAATATATTATCAGAACATACATCTTCAATTTATGTAAGATAGTGAAAATAGTATGCACGTAATCATTAAACTAACATCAATATGAAAATATAATGGTAAAAGCAAGTAGCAATCGATGTGAACGGTGTCATATCATACGAGTAATAAAATAAGTGCAGTTGTATATCTTATGAGAAGTGATCAATAATATGAAAAAGGACCATTATGTTATATCATTCTTATGCTTCTCAATTATAAAACAGTTTATATAACATTTTATGAAATCATTACACTTTCCTTATACATGAAATACAATATTTATAAAATGTGTGTATATCATGTTCCCATCAAATGCATTATTCCATGTATCAACTTTATTTATAATGTCATATGTGAATACATGTCTTATAATATCAATATCATATGCAATGTGTATCATGTATATCATATAGTTCGTATAAATTATATGCCAATGTATGTATCTTATCCATGTGCCTATATGTCCTATAGCATGTATATGTATTATATCATGTCACATGTAATGTATCAAATATGTTAATATCACATATGTATATATAAGTAATATAAGCAAGTTTGGATTTTTCCATGCAACCAGCCTTGTAGGCCAACCCTACATGAATCAATCTGAATTATATCAATCATGTTTACAAGAATTAGTCACATATCGCAAGTCATGAGTCAAATGGATTTTATGTAAGAAGTCATCATTTTTTTATTGTTGGTATATCATATTACATCAATTAGACTCGTTATACTTCCCTTTTCATATTACTCAGGATTACACCACAAATCTTATTTAAAGAAAAGCCCATCAACCACCCTCCTATATGGGGCAATATGTCTCCAACCAGCCTAAATTAATCAATCATTTTCAACCCACCTTTCTTTCTTTTACATGTATTTTATATCATATAAACTATAATAGCCAACACTGTATATAATCAATACAATTGCCAATATACTTATCAATATGCTTATAGTATATCAGAAGTGCATATTATACTAAATGAATAGTATATATGTGCATAACGTAAAATTCATATCTTAATATAGTTTATTGATTCCTTATTATTTTATAATAATATTATTATACTTATTTCATTTAAAATAATATATAAGCAAAAACCACTTGGTGAAATTTTAATATTAAATAGTCAAAATGCTCAAGATGACTATGTCTAACACATCGAAAAGCTATACGATAAAAAATCACTAGAATAAGAGATATTATATTCAAATTGATTTTATGAGAGATAAAATATGAGAAATCAAAACTAGTGAAAACAAAGATAGGATTTAGGTTACCTATCATGATCAAACAATTTTCTCAATTAGAGCGACAAAAGAAAATGACCTGTAATGAACTTTGTCTCTCCCCTCTCGCTTCTCTTCACCTTTATTCCCTTAGCCAAGAAGTAAAGTGAGGGAGGGTGGTGGTTAGGGTAATGAGTTAATTAAAATGGATTTAGTTATTCTAATATTTAAAAACTACCATTTTGACCTAGTGTCATGATACTTAACTCTCTAGCACTACTATACTCCCAGAGAATCTTCGCCCCATGGCAGAGTCACCCAAACCATGTTATTAAGGTAGATTATCCTAAATTCTCTCCACTTGAGACTCAGCTCCATGGCAGAGTCACCCCAGTGCCATAGTGTACACTAAATTCCTCATTTTCTCAATTTTCTTGAGAGCTCAAATTTGAGATGTCACCAAAGCTAGGGCCACAGTGCCCACATAACAAAATTTAAAAATTGGAAACTAGGCTATTACAACCATTTCATTGGAAGGCTAACCCTTTATGTGCCCAAACCATCTAAGGTGACTCTCTCTAATCTTATCTACCACTAGAGCTACTCTAATCTTTTCCCATATATTCTCAATTTCCATTTTGTCTCTAAGTGTGAATCCACTCATCCAGTTGTGCATCCTCGTCTCTACAACATTTAACTTAATTTGCTACAAGAAAAATTATACAAATATAATTTATGTGCTTTTTTGTGACTCTCCTATAACATATATTACACCATCAATTATGGACTACACTTCAAAATAGCGGGAGATGTTTGTGCATGTGCATGCAAATATATGGCCTCATTTTGTAGTTTATAGACAAATAATTATTTCCAAATTTTCTTGAAGCTTCTTGCTCTATAGTTATAATCTTGATATGATCATTAATTATCCTCCAAAGAGGTTAACCGCTTCCTTTATAATGCCCAATCAAGTAAAATGTACTTTAACTTATAGTTTATGCCACCAGTATCTTCAAACAATCCAAAATTGTATTGCGCTCTAACTCCACAAACAAAAAATAAAAAATACAATTTTGAGAGAGAATTAGGAGAGACCTTTCAAAGTTTGATGGAAAGAAAACTCATCATGTGGCCTAATTGGGAGATGGAAGAGAAGAGGATTGATTGGTCATAACAAATGAGGAGGACACACTAAGAGAAAAAAAATAGTAAGCATCATCACTTGTAAGTCGTAAGAAATGCATGGCATACATCTTGGAGTTATTTAGTTTCAAGAACTTAGTAACATATGATCACTTATTGTCCAATATATTAGATGTTCATTTATAGATTTATTAAAGAGAGTTTCACCTCCTATAGGGATCTAACTAAAGGATTTGAGGTAATTTATGTTGAGTTGATCACTCCATGGAAACATGTCCTATAATGAAAAGGGATCTAGTAATGCGATGTTGAGAATTATAGTCCATGTTGTTCCCATTAGCCTAGAGCTATATTATGGATTTTTTTATGATTGCAAACATAATATGGTTGAAATTATATATTGTGGACTAATCTTTATTAGTACATGTTTTAATTCTAATAGATTATAGAAGTAAATGAAGTCTATATGTGGGTGTGCAAATCTAGAACATATAAGGACTCAAACAATGAACATAGCTCAAGAAAAAATATATATCATGAACAAAATTTAGCAATTTAAAGTTTCACAAAGAGTCAAAGATAACTCATATGAGAGTTGTACTAATCATATTCATGTATTATAATTTTCTTATTTTTTTGTCACTTTGTATATGTATTCCAATTAAAGAAACTCGTGAAACAATCAAAATGCATATATAAGATAAATTAAAAAAAAAATTAAAAATATTAATTTTATAAATTGATCATACTGTACAATATGCCTTATATTCAGACAATCCAGATAAGATAAATTTGCATTAATTACGAGATACCTAAATTAATTTTAAATGAACTAATATGATGTATATCGAACAATATGATCAAATTTAAATACAAATTTAATCTATCATATTATTATTACTTAATTAAACTAATCCAAAATTTAAATTATTCATATTCTATGATGTATATAATATTATATAATATTTTTATTAATTTAATCTAGTTAACATATGATAATAATATGGTAATTAATACATAGCTACTATATGACATGCATTCTATAGGACAATCAAGAAAAAATATGATTTTATGTTTCATATAAATCATATTGTATATAGGGATTAGCATACTAAGTGATCTTGCCACAGTTTAAAAATAACAAATTTTAGAATTTAATTTTTTTCACTTCACTACATGAAAATTGTGAATTACCAACAGTTTTTTTTTTTTTTTTTTTTTTTTTTTTTGGGGTTGCCTTTTTTTTTTTTTTTTTTTTTTTTTTTGCGGTTAGCATTAATTTTTTGATGGTTTTGAAAAGTACTTGTGATATTTCGACGGTTTAGAGACCATCAGTATAAAACATGTAGGAAATGAATTACGACGGTCAATTTTCAGCAGTTAA